GCCTGCGCGTCCGGAGCCTGTGCTCCGCAAATGGGAGAGGCCACAACAGTGAGAGGCCCGCATAACGCAAGAAAAAAAAAAAAAAACTCATAAAAATGTGTAGCAAGAAGGGAAATTTTACTGAATATAAATTAGAAGGAAAATTAAAAATGTAAACAGTGAATTAATTGTCCTCTTCAAACGCCTGCCTAGAGGTTTATGAAGAAAGAAATTAGGCTACAAGGAGTTAAAAAGTTCTCCGTTCTTGAGGGCTGTGGGAACTCTAGTTCTTGGGCGTTTGCCCCTGGCCCTGGGGCCCTAGCCCCTGACCCCTGTCTCTCTCTCTCTCTCTCTCATTCAATAGCTGCAGTGCTGGGTAAGAGACAAGGAAAGTTTTGTGGAACCCAGAAATAAATAAATAACTGCCCATCCAGGTCGCCACGGCAACCATGACATCACCCTCAGATCCGAGGGTCTGGCAGCACGGGCGGCTTGTTGGTGTTTGTTAAAGGAGCAGGGGAGAGGGCAGCCCAGTAACAGGTGGAGGAGGCTTGGTTTCCCGCTGGGGAGAAAGGCGTCCATTGCACCCCCTTCACGGTTGGCCTCAGACCCCCACCCCCCCAGCCCTAGTGGAGGGAGCGTAGATTAGCACTGCCTCTTTGGGGGGCTTTTGGGCAGAATCTATCAAAGCTAACACTGTGTGTACCTGTGTTAGTGTCTCCGGGGTTGTGGTAACAAACGAACACACACTTAGTGGCTTAAAATAACGGAAATCTGGTCTCTCTCCATTCTGGAGGCCGGAAGTCCGAAGTCAAGATGCCTGCAGGGTTGGTTCCTTGTGGAGGCTTGAGGGAGTGTCTGCTCCAGGCCTCCCTCCCAGCTCCTGGTGGCTGCCAGCATCCGTGGCGTGAAACTGCATCACTCCAATCTCTGTCTTCATTCTGTGTCTCTCCTCTTCTTATAGGGACACCTGTCATATTGGATTAGGGGCTCACCCCCCCCCCCCCTTAAGTCCCACATTCTCAGGTCCTCGGGGTTAGCACTTCAGCATAGGAATTTTGGGAGGACACAATTCAACCCATAACCCTGTTTCTGTTGTTATTGTATTTGCTTTATTGGCACAGATCCGGCATACTCAAGAAATGCTAAGTGGACGGCCCCTAGCACGGACACAGCATACAGTGGGCACTTAATAAATGCTTTGTGCACTGTACTGCATTGTGCCCTTTGTTCTGAACCATACACCCGTTTCTCGTTTGTGTGGGTCTTTATAGTAGTAATCGGGTTCCTGGGGTGTGGGGGAAGGTTTTTGGTGTTTTAGTGGAGTTTAACCCCACCTGGTGGATGATTCTTGGCAAAGTCCAGGGTGAGCTGTCCACTTACCTGACTCTGAGCCAGCGTGGTCCTGCCTGCCGCCCGAGAGCCAGGTGTTTGCAGGTCTCATCTCCCCCACCGCCAGCCTGACCTGAAGACCCCTGCAGAGAGTTCGGTCAGCCAGGTGTGGCCATGTCCCATCCCACCTGGGTGATGTCACTTCCTCACTCTGCCCTGGAGCTTCCCCTCCGTAAACCCGGCATGGTGGTGGCTCTGTGGCTCCATGGTAGCCTGCAGGTACCAGGAGCTCCCGTGAGGATCAGGTGAGAGAATGGGGCGGAGGCAGTGGATGGGGCTTGGAAGATTCCAAGACACCAGAGCATCAGGAATGCTTATTGTCGGGACTTCCCTGGTGGTCCAGTGGTTAGGACTCCATGCTTCCACTGCCAGGGGCATGGGTTCGACCCCTGGTCCGGGAACAAAGATCCCTCAGGCTGCGCGGTGCAGCCAAAAAAGAAAAAAAAAGTTAAGAAAAAAAAAGGAATGTTCATTGTCAAGATAGAGTCACCTGGCCATTCCACGTGTGGATCTACGCCCAGCGGAAATGAATGCATATGTTCACTACAGTGAATGCTCATAGCAGAGTTACCGTAACAGCTCCAAGCTGGAACGTCCGCCTCCAGTAGATGGGATAAATAACTTGTGGTTCACTCACCGGGTGGAATACTCTACTGCAACGAAAACAGCCAATTACTGAGGCTGACAAAAGTCATGCTGAGCCCAAGGAGCTAGACCCAGAGGGTGTGTGCTGTGTGGTCCCACTGATGGGCAGTTCAAGAATAGGCAAAACTAGTCTATGGTGACAGTGTCAGAGGGGGGTGTCCTTGGGGGGCAGTACCCCTGGGAAGGGGTATAAAGGTGAAATGGAGCAGGACGCTATGGTCCTTGCCCCCCCACCGCCAATGTCCTCCGCCTGCCTTTTGTCTGTGGAAAAAATTTAGCCAAAGAGTAAGTTTAATCAGAGAACTGAGAAAATGCAGAAACAGAGGAACACAGTCAAAGGCGACCAAATAATAATAGTTCCGTCATTAAGCAAAGTCAAGGACCTTTAGTTCCCCCTCAAGGGCTATAGGTAATATTCTGAGCTGTGTCCTGCGAGCTGTCTTATAGGTACTGAAACCCCACCAGGTGGAAGGAGTTAACTACATGCTGACCAGGCTGTAGCCATGACATAAGCTGCCACCATGCCAAGAACTGGCCCAAAGAAATGGAAACAAACTGACCCTGGAACTGAAGATTAACTGTACCTAAAATCATCGAGATGATGCTGGTCAGACCACTGATGACCAATTTCAAGACGACTGTCAGAGCTCACTGTGCTGTTCCTGCACGTAGCCCCCTCCCTCTGTCTGTAAAAGCTCTTGCCCCCTGATTGTCGGCGGGGGGTGGAGTCGGCCTTTGGACGGGCGTCCACGCTCCCCGCTGATTGCCGGCCTCCAAAATAAAGCAACCTTTCCTTTCCTACCAACACTTGTCTCTCAAGAACTGGCTTTCGAGCGGCAAGCGGCCGGACCTGGGTTCAGTAACAAAGGCGCTTTCTAGGGTGTGCAAAAGAGGCTCTGGCTCTTCTGGTGGTGGTCACGCGGGCGTGTGTCTACGTCGAAGTCCATCTAGCTGTACCTTGGGAAGCTATATTGTATGTCTGTTATGCTTAAAGAAAATTAAAACTAAGAAATGAAGAGGATATGCTACAACCCAATATTTATTTATTTATTTTGGCTGTGCCGTGCAGCTTGCGGGATCTTAGTTCCCCGACCAGGGATCGAACCCAGACCACAGCAGTGAAAGCACTGAGTCTTAACCGCTGGGCCGCCAGGGCATTCCCTGCAACCCGATATTTAGCAAACACCACTTCGGGGATTAAGCACAAAATGTTGGATAGTGCAAAAAAAGGTGTAATAGAGAGAGGGAGGGAGGGAGGGAGGGAGGGGAGCGTGATGGGGAGGGGAGAGGAGGAGGGAAAGGGGCCGGCAGGGGAGGGGAGGGGGACCCTCTTCCCACCAGCAGGGGCCAGGGTCCTCAGGCCTCCTGGGAATTCTGTGACCCGGGCCGCTCCCGGCTTCCCAGCCGAGCTTCCAGGAATTGTGTGTCTCCCTCCAGGTTCATGAACCACCGAGTCCCTGCCCACAGGAGGTACCAGCCCACGGAGTATGAGCATGCCGCCAACTGCGCCACCCATGCTGTGAGTCTTGGGGGGCTGAGAGCTGAAGAGGGGGGCTGGGGACGCAGCCTCTTTGCCCTTGGAGAGATTGTGTTTCCGTTCCATGGCAATGTCCCGAGTGACCTGTTCTCAAGTCTTCCATGGCCCTTGGAAGAGCGCGTGGGATCTCGAGGGAAGGTCATTTGGGGAAATTGGAGGCGCTGAGCGTGCCTCTCTTTTAATTTAAGAACCTTCAGTGGCTCCCTAGTACCTTGTACAGAATCCAGGCTCGGTAGCAAGCTCCCAGATAGGTCTTAGCCTTTGTGTTATGTTGGCCGACCTTCCACTGCCACGATGTTGTCCCCAGGCTCCAGCGCCCTGAGCCACCTGCTGTTTCCGAAATAGAAGGCATGACCCCGTGCCTTTGCACATGCTGTTCCCTCTGCCTGGAATAATTTCCGTCTCCCCCGACCCCAGCCTTGCGTAAGAAATCCGTCTCTGGGCAGTGGTCCTTAACCCTTTGGCGCATGGGTCCCTTTGAGGATTTAATGAAGCTCTAGACCTACGCTGTCCAGCTTGGTAGCCACTGGCCTCATACAACTGAAATGCAGCTTGTCTGAATTGACATGTGCTGTGAGTATAAAATACACACCAGCTTTTAAAGACTTAGCATGGAAAGAAAAGAATGTAAGGTATCTTCTTAATACTTTTCATATTAATTACACGTTGAAATGATATTTTAGATATATTGGACTAAGCAAAATATTAAAATTAATTTCACCTATAAATAATTTCCTTTTCAAAATGTGGTGACTACAAAATCTAAAATTACCTGCGCCACCCACGTTATAGTTCTGTTGGCTGGGGCTGCTGTAGAATCTCTCTCTAGAAAAAGTGCTCCTAACACACGAAATTGGGCAAACCTTTGCAGGGACCCTGTACCCCCAGTGCTTCGGAGAGTTCTGAGACTTCTCAGAGGGAACGATGGATAAACCAGGATTCGAAGAGTGAGGAGTTTTCCAGGTAGACATGATAGGGAGGGATGCCGTCTTCACAGAGAACCACAGGTGCAACAGCACAGAGGCATGAAGCGGGGTGCCCTGACCGGGAGGCTGGGGTATCAGTGGACCCAGGGGGTGGGGGGCAGTGGCCAGAGATGCTTCTTGAAGAGAGCAGATCTTGGCTTCCTGTTTTACCACGATATTCTCTAGAGTTATGCTGTCCAATATGGTAGCCTCTGGCCTCCTGTAGCTGTTGGAATTGAAATTGACACCAATTAAAATGAAAACTTCAAGTCCTCAGTGGTACAAGTCACATTTCGAGTGCTCAGTAGCTGCGTGTGCCTAGTGGCTCCCATACTGGACAGTACAAATCTAGAATGTTTCCACCATTGTAGGAAGTTCTTTTGGGCAGTCCAGAGTCTATGATGGAGGCTTCCCTCCATCACAGAATTTCTGTTGGACTGTGAAGGTCTAGAACCTTCCCACCATCACAGGAAGTTCTCCTGGATGGTGCAGGTCTAGAACCTTCCCTCCATCATGGGAAGCTCTGTTGGACAGTACAGGCCGAGAACCTTCCCTCTATCACAGAATTTCTGTTGGACAGTGCAGGTCTAGAACTTTCCCTCCATAATGGGAAGTTCTGTTGGACAGTACAGACCTAGAACCTTCCCACCATCACAGGAAGTTCTCCTGGATGGTGCAGGTCTAGAACCTTCCCTCCATCATGGGAAGTTCTGTTGGACAGTGCAGACCTAGAACCTTCCCACCATCACAGGAAGTTCTCCTGGATGGTGCAGGTCTAGAACCTTCCCTCCATCATGGGAAGTTCTGTTGGACAGTGCACGTCTGGAGAAAAGGCTCGGGTTGCTCAGGGCCTCTGTATTTGCCTGGACCCCACTCCAAAGGCTGGCCCTGCAGCACCTCTCCCCATCCTGCTTCCAGCTCTGGATCATTCCCAGCATCCTCGGCAGCTCCAACCTCTACTTCCTGTCAGACGATGACTGGGAGACCATCTCTGCCTGGATCTACGGCCTCGGCCTCTGTGGGCTCTTCGTGGTGTCCACCGTGTTCCACACGATCTCCTGGAAAAAGAGCCACCTCAGGTGCCTGCTGCCTAGCCCATGGGAGGGGGCGAGTTCCTGGAGGGGTGACCAGGGCTGGGACCCACGGTGGGCTGAGGGGTGAGGCAGGATGCCTCGGACCATGCTTGGCTGAGCCAGGAGGGGCCCTGGATGGAAGGCCTTGTGCCGTCTTTGCCTCGGGCCGGCGGGGTTGACCCCCACGTGGGCGGACCACCTCACCCTCATTTGCCTCGTTTGCTCACTTCTGCGAGTCCGGAAGAAAAAGCCCCTCGCTCCCAGGGTCATTGTGAGGGACCCTCATAATCGTCATAATAATCACCCCCTTCTGGGTACCCGCTAGGTTCCAGGCATTCTGCAGATGTCCCTCTGCATCTTTCCAATAATTCTGCAATGTAGGCATTAGAATCCTGGATTTTAATTTTGATTTGTTTTGTTTTTAATTTTTTAAAAATTGTGATAAATACACAGGACATAAAATTTACCATCTTAACCATTTTAAGTGTACAGTTCAGTAGTGTTAACTGCATTCACATTGCTGTGCAGCTATCACCAGCATGATCTCCAGAACTTTTTCATCTTCGAAAATTGAAACTCTGTCCCCATTAAACACTAACTCCCCACTCCCCCTTCCCCCGCCCCTGGCACCCACCCTTCTACTTTTCTGTCTCTATGAATTTGACTGCTCTGTGTACCCCATGTAAGTGGAATCGTATAATATTTATCCTTTCATGAGGCCAATGTCCTCAGGGTTCATCCGTGTTGTAGCAGGTGTCAGAATCGCCTTCCTTTTCAAGGCTGAATCATATTCCACTGTATGGATGGACCACACATTGTCTATCGCTTCATCTGTTGATGGACCCTTGAGACGCTTCTGCCTTTTGTGACTGGCTTCTTTCACTGACCGTGATGTCCTGGGGCTCATCCACGTTGCAGTTTGTAGAATCCCTGTTTTGTGGATGATGACGCTGAATCTGGAACGTGACTTGCGCAAGATCACATAGTTGTGTCCAAGCCAGTGTTGATTCTAGGTTTCCAGGGCCCCCATAAAGTGAGGGAACGCTCTGGTCCATTGTAGCAGCTGCATTGACCACTGGTCCCCATGTCCAATGCCCCTCTTGCCCCCAGAAGCCCTGTGACAGCCCCTCCTGTCCCCATTCTTTCCTCTCTGTGGCTCCTGGTTGCTGTAATGAATTACAACACACTGGGGGGCTTGAAACAACAGGAACTTAGCCTCTCATAGTTAGGAGGCCAGAAGCCCGAGATCAGGGTATCAGGAGGGCCACGTCTCCACGAGAGGACCCTTCCCTGCCTCTTCCAGCTTCTGGTGGTTCCCATGGTTCCTTGGCTTGTGGCAGCATCACTCCAATCTCTGCCTCTGTCTTCACAGGCCTTCCTCCCCGTGTGTCTCTGTGTCCAAATCTCCCTCTCCTTTTTCTTCTAAAGGCAGCAGTCATTGGGTTTGGGGCCCACTTACCAGTGGTGTGACGGTGCTGCCCTTTAGTGTCCTCATCTGTGATGTGGTGGATGAAAAGTATGGTCCCTACCTCCTAGGTGGGATTAAAGAGTTAATGCCTGTAAAGAGCTTAGAACGGTGCTCTGATTATAGAATGTGCTCTGTATGCATCAGCTGTTGTTATTCCTTTTATTTCTAGGAAGACTTGTAGTCAGCCCAGCATCAGATAGAAACATGGCCAAATTTAATGAAGGCTGCAGTCGCTAGATAGAATCACAGTTTGTACTAATTATCCACTGCTGCGTAACAAATTACCCTGAATCATAGAGGCTTCAAATAACAGTAAACCCTGATTCTTTCTCAAAGCTTCAGAGAGGCATGAATTTGGGAGCTTAGATGTGTGTTTCTGGTTCAAGGTTGCTGATGTAGTCGTGATGCTGCCCGGGGCTGCCGTCACCTGAAGGCTGGACCTGGGCTGGAGAAGTCACTTCCAAGGTGTCTCCCTCCCAGGCCTGGCATGTCGGTGCTGGATGCTTGGGGGTGCTCAGTCCTTCCCACGTGGACCTCCCCTCGGCCACATGGCTTGTCCCCCCGCAAAGTTAGTGATTCAAGAGAACAAGGCAGAGGCTGTGCTATCTTTTATGATCTAGCCTTAGAAACCACACACCATCGTTTCTGCAACCTCCTATTGGTTCCATATGTTTGCCATATTTGTTGTGGGAGGGGCTGCACACAGGTGTGAGGACCAGAAAGTGGGGCTCCTTGGGTACCATTTTGGAGGCTGGCTACCACACTGGTCAGATGTATTGATGACTGTAATTTGCTCTTCAAGGGGAGGTCATAAGGGAAACAGTAACGTTTATGAGCACTTCCTGTTATGTGCTGTGCTGAGTCCTGACCCTCTTGTCCTCACAGCGACCCCGATAGGTGGCCAGGGTCCTCCCTGTTTTACAGCTGAGGGAGCTGAGACCAGGGAGGGTAAGTAACTTGCTCAAGGCCCTAGTCCCTCTGTGGTAGGGTTGGGATTCGAACCCAGGTCTTATGGCTTCAGAGCCTGGACCTGAACCAGAATGCCAGAACCCAGAGGGTCTTCGGGGGCACCTAGGTTTGTTGGTTTTGCACTTATTTTTCTTTAATGAAAGGAGAATAGAATAGTATTAATAAACATTTAATTTTCCGTATTTTCTTCTGCTTGCTAGACTTCTATTGAGCATGCTGGGTTTTTTGTTTTTTTTTTGTTTTTTTTTTTTTGGCGGTATGCAGGCCTCTCACTGTTGTGGCCTCTCCCGTTGCGGAGCACA